GTTGTTTACATGGAATTTTGCACTTATGAATGTGTGGTTTCTTATAAGGTAAGTGAGAGTGAGTGAGTGAGAGTGAGTGAGTGAGTGAGTGAGTGAGTGAGTGAGTGAGTGAGTGAGTGAGAGTGAGAGAGAGAGAGCGAGAGAAAGAGAGAGAGAGAGAATGATGTGATAAAACTAATCATTTGTAATCATACCATAGGATAACCGAAAGGGAAATATGAAATGTATTCATAGTATTACAAAATCTCCAAATCTTGAGTTTAGAGAAGACTGGTATTACAACCTAAGCCTCAATGCAATCCCATTCAGTCCAGTGGTGACCGCCGACACCGATCGGCAGACATACAACACTCACTTCGATGGCCAGACGGGAGGGGCAGCTGTTGTGTCACAATTTGGATTTTACTCGACCAAAGGTGAAAGTGGTTGGAATAGATATATATACCATCTAAACATCACATATAGGAACGAATCCCAGTGCACTCGCTTTCAATGCCGGACACCGGTGTTTGTCCAACAAATACCACTGCATTTGAGACATCAGTTGGAGGGTATCGTCGACTACTATGTGGACAGTCAGACATCGGGTCATATGCTGTGGTTTAACATCAATGGACGGCCGATGTATTGCTTTACATACTATGGCAAAGACCTGTCCCCACAGGTATTGTTATCTGTCTTTAGTTTAATTTTGTTTTGTTTTTTAATTTAATTTATTTTTTAATTATTGTTTTTCAGTGCAAGTCATCAAAGGATATGATTCCGTATGAAAAGCACTGTTTCTCTGAAGTTATTGTTTCCACCGATTCTATGACACAATTATTGATTGTATTCATAATTCTGTTCATAATTGCTGTCATTGTCTTCGTATCAGTTCTGGTGATGTTTAGCCAAAGACCGAAGACTAGCACACAATCGGTTCCGCAGACCTCCAACACCTCAGCGACTGCTTTGAATATTGACAGCCATTTGTCGTCAATAATCAGAGACACCAAACGATCGCCGGTTATATCCAAGATTAAAAAGCCCTAAATTTATTCACATTTCAAATTGTATTTTTCGTGCATTTTGTTGTATTTTAATGTTTTATTACTTCATATGTTATTTGTTTTAAATTATCTTTAATTTCTCATTTCTATAAACACTGTTTTTATGTTATTTCTATTTTTCACAAATTATTTTATTAAATCGTCGCTAAAATCCCAAATAAAATATTTTTTCTAAACTTTTAAGTTATTACTTATTCGTTAGAAATATTAAACATTAGATTTAATGTTCGCATATAAGCCGTAAAACTTAAAAACTTATGTTTTTAAAAATAATTGTTTGATTTGTTTTTCAGTGCAAATCAATAGAGAATATCATTTCGTATTCACAGCACTTTTTCACTCAAGTCATTGATACTATCGATACCACAGTCGGTGTCATTGATTCCGGCGATTCTGTGACACAATTATATGTTGTGTTTGTAATTGTTTTAACAATTGGTGTCATTGTCTTCGTATCAGTTGTGATGATGTTATACCGGAGAAGAAGACAATTATTGGCAGAAAACACGGGAACATTTTTACACATTTGTAACAATTTGTTGTCAAAAATCTAATCTTTAAAACCAACTTTTAATTGAAAATATTTGCCAAATATGTCATATAATTATTATTGTTTTAAATTAAATGTTGTTTTATATTTAAAGCGCATAACAAACACGAGGTGTTTTTGAATAATACATATTTTTATAACGATATTTTAAATAAAGATTCTGTGTATAAATCAGTTGCTTATATTCTTAGCTTTTAGTTATTTAAATAGCAAAACATTTATTATCAGAAATGAATTTAATTTTGTGCATAATTTGTATGATATCTGCCATTGAATGCCAATCAATGTGTGATTTGATACAAACTAATGGCACATATAATGGCATTAAAATGTACAAAAAGTGGACAATAAATTCAGCTAAAAAACTGGAGTCAACACTCACTTCGATGTCCACACGGGAGGGGCTGTTGTGTCAAGAGTTGTAGGAATCTATAATCTAATGATTACATACATTAACGAATCCGATTGTTTGCATCGGCCTGAATGTCGGACACCAGTGTTTGTCACACAAATACCACTGGATTTAAGGCATCGGTTGGAGGGTATTGTTGACTACTATGTGGACAGTCAGACATCGGGTCATATGCTGTGGTTTAACATCAATGGACAGCCCATGTATTGCTTTACATACAATGGCGATACTCTGTCCCCACAGGTATTGTTATCTGTCTTTAATTTTATTTTGTTTTTTAAAAATTTAATTTACTTTGAATTATCATTTTTCAGTGCAATTCAACTGAGAATATGATTCCGTATTCACAGCACTGTTTCACTCAAGTCATCTCAACCACAGTCCGTGTCATTACTTTCGGCGATTTTGTGACCGTATTATGGATTTTGTTTGCAATTGTGTTCATAATTGTTGTTATAGTCTTTGGATCTGTTGTTGTGATGATATGGCAGAAGAGGAATCGTCGAAAACTAAAAACAGTTCCCAAAAACATTGGTATCAATGATATAACCATCAAAACAGAGGCATCGGGATGGGAACCGGGGGCCGGGAAGGCACCGGTAGTCACCAATAAGACAGACAGGAGTTCTGTTTATAGTAAAACAACATCACGTATTTAATAGGCTTTCAAATTATATGATTTATTTGATTTTAAATGAATGCAATTTTAATGTTTTTTATGTTTTAATGTTTAAACTGTTTTTTTAATTAAAATTACAAATGCTTTTTATAAAAGTAAAACTTTAGTTATTACTAATTAGTAAATTATATGTTATTTTAAACTACAATTTTAATCGCATTTAGATTTAAGTCTTATTAGTAAAACAGTTTTAAAAAAACATATCATTAAATAATCGGCACTTTCCCACACTGTTTTTATTATTGTTATTTATGAAATTTATTATCAATGTAATAGTACGCGCGTTATAAGGATTATAAAATTTAAAAATACATAATAATTTAATTATCAAATTTTGCTTCAATTGACGTTTTTTATCACTTGTTTCTCAGATTTTCAGTAATAAATTAAAACATTAATTATCTAAATATGAGAACAATATTAGCCATAATTTGTATGATATCTGCCATTGAATGCCAATCAATGTGTGATTTGATACAAACGAATGGCACATATAATGGCATTAAAATGTATAGAAAGTGGTCATTGAAATCACTTTCGGCGTCAAAATACGAGTTGTATTCAAAATACAATATGTATTCAAATGACAAGATGTGGACATTTGAGATACAAAGGGATGGAAACCAAATACTTGTGTCCACCAATGCATCCACTGTTGAAATGATAAGTGATTTAACTATCACTAGATTTTCTGCCATTTGTGAGACAACACCAGACATTGAGTGTTGTTCTTATGAATGTGTGGTCTCTTATAACGTAAGTGAATGAGTGATTGAATGATGTGTTAAAACTAATATCATTTGCAATCATACCATAGGATAGCCGAAAGCGTGATCACAATATGAGTTGTGATCACAGTTTTAAACGTGTTAAAATATTTAAGCTGAAAGAAAACTGGTATTACAACATAAACTTCAATGCAATCGCATTCAGTCCTGTGGTGACCGCCCGCACCGGTCGGCAGATATACAACACTCACTTTGATGTCCAGACGGGAGGGGCTGTTGTGTCACAAATGGAAACAAAATTAACGCCTAAGAAATTGACAAAATCTATACTCGATCTAAACATTAAATATATGGCTGAATCCGATTGTTTGAATCGATATCAATGCCGGACACCAGTATTTGTCCGACAAATACCACCCGAATTGCTGCCCCGATTGGAGGGTATCGTTGACTACTATGTGGACAGTCAGACATCGGGTCATATGCTGTGGTTTAACATCAATGGACGGCCGATGTATTGCTTTACACCCGAAAACCAATCGCTATCCGAAAAGGTATATGAAATACTAGATCTGAAAATCATTTGTAATAAACAAAAATTTTAAATTGTTTTTCAGTGCAAGTCATCAAAGGATATGATTTCGTATGAAAAGCAATGTTTCCCTAAAGTCGTCGATTCTCCCGATTCTATGACCGTATTATGGATTATATTTGCAATTCTGTTCATAATTGCTGTCATTGTCTTCGTATTAGTTCTGGTGATGATTAGGCGAAGTAGAAGACAATCGTCTCTTGAGATATCCCGAGACAAGACATGCTCCGGAAGTAATTTAAATATTGACAGCCATTTGTCGTCAATAATCAGAGACACAACTATGCGATCGCCGCCTAAATCCATGATTAAATAGCCCTAGATTTTACCACATTTCAAAATGAATTTTTTGTGCATTTTGTTGTATTCAATGTAACATTGACAATGTTTTATTACTTCAAATGTTATTTATTTAAAATTATCTTTAATTTCTAATCTTTATAAACACTGTTTTTATGTTATTTTCATTTTTCACAAAGTTATTTTATTCAATCGTTGCTATAATCCCAAATAAAATATATTTTCTAAACTTTTATTACTTATTCGTTAGAAATACTGTATTAAATATTGGATTTAATGTTTGCATAAAAGCCGTAAAATTTGAAAACATCTATTAATTAATTGAATGCAATTTACTTTTTATAGTCATTAAATAAATTATTTGCATTTCTGTTCATAATTGATGTCATTGTCTTTGTATCAGATGTGGTGATGATTACTGTAAATGTTTTATTTAATTTAAATTAAAAATGCTTAATATAAAAGCAAAACTTAAGCGATTAGTAAATTAACTATTATTTTAAACTACAATTTTAATCGCATTTAGATTACTATTTAAACAAAAAATTAAATCAACTTTAAATACAATCAATTAAATAACATTTTGAATGAATTAATACATAAAATAAATTATACAAAAACACATATAATTAACAAAACATTTCAAAAAACATATAACATATCAACAAATGAGCGGCACTTTCCCCACACCTATGGCTTAACCTTAACATCTGAACCGGACTTTGAATCGGAGGGTCCGCCACCACCAGCAGCGGGACCTCCCGGGGCTCCCGGAGTCGCTGCCGTACCCGTAATGAGTGCTTTCTCACGCTTTCTACCAATAATTAGATACCGACGGACAGCGGTAGAGGTCGGCGCCGGTTTAGCGGGCAGATAACGGTCGGCCAGTTTACGGGCGCCGATCACCGCAACGATAATGACCGCATCGATGGCGTACAGCCCTATCACCGATACCCAGCCCGCGGTCGACGACGGGTCCCGTGGCGTGAATCCAGTTGTAAACGGTTTGATAGTTGTTGTAGTGATGGTTATAGGAGTGGGACTGACTGTAGGGCCGGTTATGTTAGTGTCAG